AGGGTCAACCTTTTGGTGGCGGTTGTCGGGCTTCTTATGGCGGTCGTCGTGTTTTATATGGCGGTCATCGAATTTCTGGTGGTGATCGGAGGTCTTCGGGTGGCGATCATCGGCTTTGGAGGTGGTCGAGGACTTGGCGACGGCGGCTGAAGTAAAAGAGGGCTGAGGAGTTTTACCAGGAAGAAGTGGAGGAGTTTGGCGCGCTTGTTGCTGTTGTTGCTGTTGTTGTCGTTGTTGAGGCTGCTGCTGCTGTTGTCGCTGTTGATGTTGTTGCTGTTGTTGTTCCTTCGACAGTGGTGGTGGAGGTAAGGGAGTCTCTCGCGGAGGTGATCGCTGCTGCAGTTCCGGTCGAGACCCACTCGAGGTGGCCGATCCCTCGGCCTTGTCGCCAAATGAGCCAGAGGTAGCCCCTGACTTTTTCTTTAGAGGGGTCTTCCTCGGGGGAATGTTGAAACTGGGCACCTCTGCAAGAAAATAACAAAAACATTAACAGAGGATAATCAAAACAAACACAGAGGGGTGCCGAAGTTTTCGAGCGATCTAGTCGAAGATTACCTGGGTCATTCTCGATCCGGATAAGATCGAGGATCTCATCACTGGGAGAAGGACAGGTCTTGTGGGTGAGAAGACCACAATAGTGAAGGAGGTTTTCATCCCTAAGAAGTTCTTCGGACGCAACGGACTTGGAGTTCCAAGTGTAGACCCGTTGCTGATGATCAGTATTGGTTGACAGATCCAATAGATCATGGCTGTATAGGTTCGATATAAGCACACGTATGGTTCGTTATTATTAATTCATTTTTTTCATATAAGCATAATTTTTTAAATAACATACGTGTATATATATTGCACAAATATTATACTGCTACTAAATATTAAATTTCACTTTATTTGAATATTTCCTTTTTACACAAATGAGATAGTTTTTATTAATTACACGGATATTACTAGTAGCAATATTCATATCCATCTAAATGCAAGAACTTGTATTTAATGTGAGAAAAAATTCAAAACTAGTCCCACATGTATAGGGGTGACAATTTTGGTCCCAACGGAATGCAGAAAATGTGAATAGTCCCACAACTTTTTAAAAATGATCAAAAGTAGGACTTTTTTGCCGGATATACTATTTCCGGTCCAGAACGCCACGTCGCGCACATGTGACTCATTTTTTTACACGAGCATTGGGACTATTCATATCTTTATGCATACTTGTGGGACCAAAAATGTCGCACCATCTATACCTGTGGGACTAGTTTTGAATTTTTTCCTATCTACGTTGGATGCCAGCGTGTAAGAAAATAAGTCACATGTGCGCCACGTGCGTTCCGGGCCGGAAATAGTGATTCCGGCAAAAAAAGTCCGACTTTTGATCATTTTTAAAAAGCTGTGGGACTATTCATATTTTCTGCATTCCGTTGGGACCAAAATTATCATCCCCTATACCTGTGGGACTAGTTTTGAAATTTTCCCATTTAATATGTAGTTAAAAATCACGCGAGAACACTACCCCATAGAATAAACTAAATCATCTAACATCAAGCCATAAAAATTAGGGCCAAAAATTAATATAAAATGAATACCAATGCCTAAACCAAAAATTGCAAAATTATTTTTACACAATGGGTCTATATATAGAAATAAGCAATTAAATAATTAACAATGTTTAAATGTGGAGATTTAAGTGTATATATGTAAAAGGATATATGCACATGCATGCATATACATACAGTTACACTTTGTGGTTAAGTTTTGAGGACTGAATCTGAGGGATTTTTTGGGTATTTTATGTGTGTGTTATGTGGTGTGTGTGTGTGTGTGTGTGTTGAACATATGAATGAATGGTTGAACATATAAAACACTTACATTAAAAGTATAAAAATGGAAGATGAATAGATGATTAGATGAGAGATGGAAGATGGTGTTTGGGCAAGCAATTTTGAGATTAATGGATTTTTATTTTCCCAAAAAAAATTGGGGATCTTTTGTGAGTTGAGAAAGTTTTTTCCTTTGGCTTGCTTGTATGTGTGTGTGTATTGAGGAGGAGAGAACATGTATTTCAATTTTCTTTTACCTTTATGATAAACGACGCTTTCAATTTTTTAACTAAATGAAAGCCAAAAAACCACATCGTTTTAAAGCCTTATTTAAAAATTAAAAAAAAAAAGCCTTGCCACTTCATCTTCTTCCCTCATACAACCTCCATTTTGCCTTTTTTCACCCAAAATTTCTCTTAAAAATATGTAATAATATACATTTAGCAGCAAAAATTCAGCCTGAGCAATTGCCCAGGCTCGCCTAAGAGTAAATCCGCCTCTGGTTGAGTTGTGACGATTTTTAGAGTTGTGCTGCATTTATAAGTCTAGCTTTCGAGAAACAATAATGAGTAATTTAATTAGTTAGAATCATAATCATTTGAATTGGAATCCCCATGCAAATTAATGGTCTTTTTATTATCACAATTTTTGTCTTATTTTGTTGTAAATCAAGCTAAGTCATGATTTTTGTATCCTATGATGTAAACGAGCCGAGCCGAGCACAACTCTTGATATTTTCAAGCTCGGGCTCAAGCCCTGTTGTTTACTAATCGACCCAACAGACAACCTTAATATCTTCTTGTGAATCAATGTTATCGAGCCAAACTTCAACCTTAACGAGTCGAGCCAACGACAGATGAAAAAATTTATATCAGTCAAGGCAGTATAAAATAAAAAAATGCCCGAAATTTTTTATACTGTGCACATACAAATTTACCTTCTACAAGATATTTTTCCATTCACATTCTTCTTCTCTCATTTTTTGGATTTGTTTCGGTTGTGCTTGTTTATCAAATTTCTAAGAAAATAAAATTAGAAAAAAAAAAAGAATATCTCAATTCTAAATCTAACTCGACTTTAACTCAACTTCATTATTGATATAGGATATTATACCCACAAGGCTAAACCGGTCTATTGACCGTTCGAGGAAGTCGTATTATGAGGAGGTCAAGGAAATCGAGCAGCTAACCAGTCAACCAGCAAAGTTGTCGACCAAACTATCCTTCGACCAGATGAACGATTGAGTAGTTCAGTCGGCCTCGAAGGTCGACCACTTTGAGGACTTAACACTACACTGATCGGCCTAGTCACAGGCACGTGAGAGAGCCTCTAACTGAATTTCAGGAGAATATTTACCCCATGTGCAGGGGGACATGTGTCGAGAAGGCAGTGGTTGATAGCAATAACCACCTCTGACAGCCTACCCCATGTGCAGGAGGACACGCGTCCAAAGGGTATTGGTGCAGGCGATAGTGGCGACGGCTACCTCTGACACACGCGTATGGTGTGTACGGACGGGCAGTTAGGGCAGACAGCTCATCAAATCCGGGCAGCCCTAGGTCAGGTATTTCGCCCCTATATAAAGGGGGTGAGCTTTTCTTCTTCAACACGATCATTCCATTACTTACTCTTGAGGATTGATTTAACAATACACTGACTTAAGCTTCGGAGGCTCTTCACCGGAAAACCCCTCCGGTGTGAGAGTTCTATATAGATGCACGACGTTCAACCGGCGAGAAGGAAGACGATTATTCAAGTTTCAGTCGGTCGGGAAGTTTTGTGTTACCAATTATCCTCAATATTATCAATATAACTAAATAATATCAACCATTCTTACACATTACATCAACTTTAATTCACTATTAATCCACTCACATAATTTTAACTACCTATCATTTCCCGTCATATATCTCATATTTTTACATCAAATCAATTTTAATTATTTTGTTTAAATATTATTAGAATAAATTTTTAAATTTCCACGAACAACTAATCATATTAACTGTTTCAAATAAGCTCTAGTTAACACAAAAAAAAAAAAAAAAAAAAAAAGATTTTTTTCTAGTTTTTATAAACAAGCACGACCTTACATGCCCTGACCAAATCTTTAGCATTTACAATATCTTGATCATCCTTTTATAATTCTACTCATAACTCATTCATTGATGTAAAATTGTCTCATTACAAGGAGTAAAAATATGAAATCAAAGAGTTGTATCTGCACAAGCAACAAATTACATTGTTCGCTTTGATCAGCAATAACTCTATCGTTAATTATCATTTCAATAAATTTAATTATAGAAGTGAACATAGAGATAATGTTCAACTTCGTTTTATATAGATTATTAAAAAAAGCTTAAAATTATTTTTATTATGTATCACAAGTTATCCCGTTGCCTTTTCTTCCTAAATACTTATTTGAAAATTATAACTACATATATTAGCAGCAAAAATCCAGTCTGGGCAGTTGCCGAGGCTGGCTTAAGTGTAAATCCACCCCTGAGTCGAGCTGCAGAGAAATAAATAAAGAAATCATATTTTTTAACCTTAACGAATCGACGTCTTTAACTAAACGAGTTTCAGTCCAACTAGACCTGAACTCATTTGAGCTGCTGGAGTCTTGAGTCTTAGTGAACCGAGCTTATTAACAACTCCTTTAGTTTAAAAGCACATTTACATGCATTTTATGAAGCATATTATAGTAGAATCGTATGGCGGTAGCCATTGTCACTCGTCACTTAACAGCAAAGAAAGAGAGGTAATGAATAAACAAAAATAGTCCAAATCTTTGCATACACCATTCAGAATTATATCATAACTGTAATTAATTTGATTACACTGCCTTAATCAGCAAATCAACGCCACTGATTAAATACATAATCCATTCAGAATTATATCATAACTGTAATTAATTTGATTACACTGCCTTAATCAGCAAATCAACGCCACTGATTAAATACATAATCATCCAAAAATTAAAGAAAGAAAGAAAAAAAAAAAANNNNAAAAAAAGAAGCTTACAGGATATACCAAATTAATAATTAAAAAAAAAAAAAATTAAGCTTATATAACGACCAAATTCTAATATCAACTCCAATCACCTTGCTAGCACACTAGACTCCATCAAAACATCCAGCAGCACCAACTTACCAATATATCCTTGGAAAAGATAAAATATTACGATCAAACCCCGAGACCCGCCGTGTACCTAACACCCGTCGACGGCAGCCACTCGTTCCCGGTGATGAATTGGGACACGGTGAACCCACTCGCCTCAGCCGAGCTATTGAAAACATGATACCCGGGCCACTTCACCCGGTCCCCCAAGGCCGACCCGGGCCCATAGTTCGAGAACTCCCCGTAAAACAATGTGTCTAGCGCAAAATTCCCGTTCCACTCGAGCCACCCCTCGGGACGGATTGCCCCACTGATGTACGATTGCATGACGACCGTGCGCGAGTGCTGTTTCCAGGGCCGACCGAGGTACGTCTGGGTCGAGTTCGACACGTCGGGCTCGGCTGAGATGTTGCAAAATTGGATCGAGAATCCCGTGTTCTCGACGGGCTCCTTTCGGCCCTGGGCCGTGATAGCGTTCTTCTGGTTGGGGAGGCCCGCACGGGCCCTTATCTGACAATTCTGGAAAACCACGGTCCCGTCACCGAATATAAAGTCGACCGTGCCCGTGATCTGGCACTCCCGGTAGAACTGTCGTTGGGAGTGGGCGTACAGAGTGTCCTGATAGCCGTTGATCGCGCAACGAAATAAAACAGACAAGTCGGAGTCGGACCGTAAGGCGACCGCCTGGTGCTTTCCGGGCCCCGCCGTGTTCTCGAACGTGATGTCCCGGGCTATGAAGCCCAAGCCTTTGACAGCTGTATGTACAAATTATAATGTAAATACACATGAATGAGTCGTTAATTAACTAAATGAGTCACTAATTGATTCGTTGCTTGATTTATTTATTAATAATAGCAAGCTTGAGCTCGAGCCTTAACGAGTCGAGTCTACTCATTAGCTAAACAAATTCAACGAGCTTAAAAAATTTTCGCATTAACGAGCCAAGTCAAGCCGAATTCACGAGTAGCTTATTTTGTTTGCATGTGGGCAAGAGAGTGAAAATATATTATATGTTTAAAATGTATAATTTAAGCACACTTGTGTGTCTTTTCATAAATATCAAAATTAAGATACATGTAACATTAGGATGAAAAATAAATAAATATCATTAAAATTGTCTATTGGACCAAGTAAACAACATCCTATGGGACATGCCCCATGTGCTGCATGGGCACATAGTAAAGTTTATTCCATATAATTTAGGCACATATATATATAATAGAGTTATTATATGTTGTCTAGATTGGATTGCACACCTTTAATGCATTGAAAATATGTCTAACTCCTGCCAGCAACAATTTAAAACCATATCTTTAGAATCAATGTAGTGAATCTTATGGGGGGCTACAAAGTTTGACAAATTTCAAATCAATAAATTGTCCTGCAGTTGAAATGTGTATTATCTACAAAGTTATGATACTGAAACGAGTAAAAACGACAGAAACATAAATCAAGATTTATATATATGAACTTATTTGAATCGAAAAAACTTGTTTTGTTTCTTACCGAATGTCGCAGATCGGTAAGTGGTCCAACCGTCGATAAAATTCCGGTTACCGGAGATAACCGTGGCGTTCATCCCGTCCCCGACCATCATGATATTCCACTTCTTCTTCCCGATCTCGACATACTCCTTGTAAACCCCTTTCTTCACGTATATGACGTACCTTTTAGAACTATACTCGGGGGCCCCACGAACGGCCTCCTCGATGGTGGTGAAGTCCCCTGTGCCGTCGGCGGCAACCACCACGTCCGCCACCGCGCCGTTGGCCGCCTGGAGGAGGCTCCGGTCGCTGGGTCGCAACCAACCGGGAAATTTTTCGCTGTCGAGGAGTTTCCGTCCGCCTTTGCCGCCGCCGCCGGTCTTGGGGCCGCCTTTGCCGCCGCCGCCAGTCTTGGGGCCGCCTTTGCCGGCGGCCGGAGTTGTTTTGACGTTGGAAAGAATGTCGTAAACGAGCGAGGTGATTTGGTCGAGGCTGCCGGCGACTAGGTCTCGGACGATGCCGTTGGTGCCGTCGAAGCCTTCACGACACGTGTCTTGGTTGATGAGGGCCCCACTTAGCCATGTCTTCATGTCGGCTCCAACATCTCCGGTGCCATTGTCTTTGGCTGTAGACAAGATTTTTTTGTATAAAGACGAACTATTATAATTACATTTTATTAAAGTAAGTTAACTACATTTTGCTATAAAAACTCTATATTTTGATAAAAATCTCAATATTTGTATAATGTTTGACATAAATAAAAATAACGATGGGTATACAAGAATTTGTGTGTATAATGTATATATATAAACTCATGCAATAATTTATCTATCGATTTTATATATATAGATGCATATATCTTCTTTGTGTAATCTAACAAGAAGGACAATTTGAAAGATTCAACATTGTTGACTTCCCTCGTCAAAATCTCAGCCATCAGATCACACGTGCATACAAATTCGTGCACATTTGTATTGATCTAACGATTCAAAACTGAATACACGACAATTTACCCGATTTTAATTAATGTAAAACTCCCATAAACAATCAATCCATCACACACGGCTCAAAGAAGTTGGACAAGAGGCCTAAAGATATTGACATATACAAGTATATAACATATCTACTGCAGACATTAAATTGCACGTAAAAATATGCACATAAAACTTTGAGCATTGGATTAGTTATCAATATATTTTTCGATAAAGTTAAGTTAGTTCCATTGTTTTGGGTGTATATATTATGGTACTATTTTATAGTGTCTTATTTTAGTGTGTATTAAAGTAGCTCACTAAAACTAATAAATTAATTTTTAAACTTGATACTATCCTCGTCATGCACAATAATAAATGCTAATAATAAATAAATAAATAGGCGCTCCTCTCTTGATCAGTCTCTTTTAATCTTTTGCACTACTTTATTACCTCAAAAGCCCCAACAAAATATTAAAGCCAATCAATAAAAAGAAAAATAAATATCACTTTATTAAAAAAAAAAAAAAAAAAAAACAAATAGGCTAATTTTCCACTTACAACTTATAGTGTTTTTCTTGTAAAATACAACATAAACTTTATTAACACATAAATTAAACATAATATTGACGATAATGTAAAAAAAAATAAATATTGACGATAATGTAAATTATGAATTGTTTATAAATTTAAGCGGCATAAAAAATATTTTACCCTATATTAAATATCATTTTAGAAAATTATTTAAACACAATTAAAAAAAAAAAAGAAAAAGGAAAAGAGATTAATAATAACCATTGGGACTTTGAGAAGCAGAGAGTGTCCAGCTAAGCTGGTCCACCGACAGGTCCATCAGGTCGAGGCAGTCCGACACGGCGTTTCCCAGCCGGAAATCGCCGAAGGCTCCGGCGAACTGCGTCACCATCGTCATCACGTCTCGTATGATGCCGATCGCTGACCTCACCGTCCCCGCGAACTCCGGCCCCGGAATCTTCAGATTTTCCGATGGGTCGTAGTTTTCAGATCGGCCGCACCCGAGCAAGCCGCACAGCACGGCGAGCAGCAATAGGAGCTTGGCCTTTGATGAAAAAGATGGCGCCATATTTTTTATATATATATTTTTACAATTGTGATAAACAGAATGAAAATGCATGGAAAGGGTGAATTGATTCGAGGGGTTTTATGATGCTTTTTTTTTTTTTTTTTTTTTTTTTTTTTTTTTTTTTATGGAGTAAGAGTAAGTGGCAATAAATAATGAGGAGATTGGATGGCTTATCAAGTTTTGGGTACTTTTGAGTTTTATTTATATGGATTGAAGGGGGTAAGGGGACAGGTGAGAGTCATAAAGGTAGAATCATATTAATGGGATCTCTCTCCTAGTGAAGTGAAAAGGCTTGGGTATTTTTATGGTTAGATCCGTTGTAAATACTCCACTAGTATGAGTCTCGTGCAGTGCACGAATCAAAAATATTTATTAGTATTTATAAATTACTTCTTTTAATTAATATTAATAGATTAAAAATATGAAATTAATATGTAATACTCCCTCCTTATATTCATTATAAATGTTGTCTAGATACATAATAAAATAGATGAATCACAAAAGTCAAAACGACATTTATAATGAACATGAGGTAGTATAATTTATCTATATTAGTTAATTGAAAATGTTATATAAAATTAAAATTGTGCAAAATTACATAAAAATGTCTATTTCAATTGTGTACACAACCTGTGCGATGCACATAACTGATAATAAGTTTCATAAAATAGTCATTGTGGTAAAATTTTATCATATATTTAACAACATATGTGAATAATAAGTATAAATATAAAATTTAGTTTCATTACTTAAAATAAATTTATTTTTGTATAAACTATTCAAATAAAAAAATTAAAGTAGTTGAGTAATTTATTAAAATATAAATAATTGACTATTTCGTTTAGTCCAAGTTAATATTGACCCGTAAGTTATGAACAATTATTTTTTTCTTTCAAATATTTTTTATTTTTTCAATATATTATATACCAAATTTAAACATTGCAACTAATAAAAGTAATAGCTGCGAGTTTTGTCAATAAATTATATTCCAAATATATTTAATAAATGAAATAGCCGCAATATTTGGCCAAAATGATTATGTAGATTAATTACATTAATTTATGAGGGATTTTTCAAATTTTGGCAAAAAAATTACCCAATTAGTAAATCTGGAATTTTAGGCGGGAAATCAATTTTTTTTTTTTTTTTACTGATTGTTAGTTACTATTCAAATAAATACCATTAGCTCTTTATATATTAATAGATTTGGGAACATTGGTATAGGCTTTGTAGGGATGGCTCAGGAGTTTATTTGGTCTTTAATCATGTACGTTATATTCCCTTATATATATATATATATAGGGCTTAGGTGATTGAATAAAATGAGGGTTTTACGGCGTATCTCTCATCTCTTATTCTCTCTATTTTCTTCTACTGCTTTCTCTGTTTGTCTATCTTATATATTGTTAATCTATATTACAACACGTTATCAACACGAATACTCTACCATTTAAGCGAACGACAACATCACCAAGACGAACAGACAATCAAGGTAACAATCGAAAATTGATCTATGCAACGAATGATCAATCAAGATAACAATCAAAATTGATGTTGATATGGGATATTATCTCTTAGACCGGCCCAACTGGTCGGTGGAGAGAACCGGAGAAGTCGATCTGGCCGAATGAAATTCATGTAGACCGCGATAGATCATAGTGACGGGAATCGTGGAAAGTCATGACGATCTCAGTCGTATAGAAGGTATGATCGACGAGTTAGGGTGGTTGAGCAAACGATCGTGTGATCGACCACCTCACGCACCGGGAGCGATTGGGCAGCTTGCCCAAGTGTGGTTGAACATAAAAGCCTTCAAAGGAACATTGGAAGAATCTTCACCCATGTTCTTAGGACACGTAGCGAGATTGGATTGGCCCATAATCATAATTGTTTTTGACACATTCCTGACGTATGTACCAGAGGTTGTACGATCGGGCAGGCCGAGAAGCTAGCTCAACAAACCTAGGCAACTTCTAGGGCAGGTATCTCACTCATATATATATGGGTGAGGCTAATACTTTTACACACAATATCTCATATATTCACTATCACTCATACTTATTCTCCTTTCTCAAGACTGACTTGAGAGTTGGAGGCTCTTCACCAGAAAATTCCCCCGGTGTGAGAGTTTTATGCAGGTTCCAAAGTTTTATTGGCGAGGAGATCGAGAAGGAAGCAGTTCTAAGCCAGTCGGAGTGTCATACCTGCAGTCGTCCTTCGATGAGCGTGGACGAAGGCTAGACCGTTCGGAGCAGACCCTCCTCCAGGCTTCTCCGGACCGCTGCAAACGCCGATGACCCCGATACCTATACCACAGGGTTTAAGGGGACCATCGACAGCCCCAGTGGTGGAGGAGAGTACGATCCGAGCACATGAAGCTCGCGTAGCAGCACTAGCGGCGGTTTCTGCACCATTGCAAGCAGATCTGGCCGGGTTGCAGCTGGTGGGACCTGCGATGCAGGTGGTGGCGTCGCCCAAGGAGAAGAACCAACGTGGCGGTCAACAGATGGTGATGATGGCCAGGGAAGAATTGTAGAGGATGATGGCCAATGCGGCAGCCCAGCCGGTGCAGCAGGTTACCAACCACAAATCTCAAGATGCAACTGCGCCGACGACGGTGGTAGGAGCCCAGAGGAAGACGTATCAACCCATGGTTGAGAAGGGGATCACAGGTATAGGGCGATGGAGAGGATGGCGGAACAACTTCACCAATTGCAGGAGAGGATGGATGGAAGGCAGGAGAGGCGTGCTCGAGGACATCCACTCTCGAGAGAGATCTTGGTCGCACCATTGCCAACAAATTTGAAGGAGATAAATCTTACTTATGACGGATCGACTGACCCGTCGAGACATGTGAGGGTATTTGAAAACATGTCTGTCTTGCATGGGTATTCAGATCCAGTTAGTTGCAAGGCCTTCCTATCGACCTTGCGGTGAGGGGCACTCGATTGGTTTCACCAACTTTCTCCAGGGTCAATCAGGGATTTCGAAGATCTCACTGGCCAGCTAACCAATCAGTATCCGAGTGCAGTGGCCCAAGAGAAGTCATACCTTACATTGATGGCAATGCGACAAGGAGAGAATGAGTCTTTAGAAAGTACGTTGCACGATAAAATCAGACGTGCCTGGAGATCACAACAACTTCGGATGAGGTTAAAGTAAGGGGTTAATTCAGAATCTTCGGGTAGGGCCTTATCGAACATCATTGGTCAAGACTCCTGCTCGAACCTACTAGGAGGTGCTGGAGGGGTGCAGAAAATACATCAATTTGGAGGAAGCCGAAGCAGAGTTCGCCATGTTGGAGGAGATGGCGAGGCCTGAGCCTAAGAAGGGGAGGACGAACTCGCCTAGGAGAGGTTCGTCCAGGGGAAGTTCGCCCAGAAGCGATACGCCTAGGAGGTCATCCCCTTGAAGGGATAAGCGAGGCCCGTTGTGGGAGGGGCGAGAGGATCGTTGGCACGGTCAACCCATTTTACCACACGGCCAGAGATACAACAATTTCACACCACTCAGTACTAAAATGAAGGAGGTGCTAGTGGCGATGGAGAAGAAGTTAGGGAACTATTAATTCACCTGGCCGAAGAGGAGGTTTGAAGGACCTACTCAACCCAGGTCGATTAAGTATTGTCGGTTTCACAAGGATTATGGGTACACTACGAAGACTTGTCGGCAGTTGGTTGTTGGCGGATAGCGAATTCGAGTAGTTGTTTTGACTAGCTGATCTAAATAGCTGCTTTGACCAAAAGTTAAGTATTAGCTATCTGTAAAATGTGTTTAGTAAAATTAGCGGATTGTTATTAGTTATTTAATATTATTTTTTTATATTTTATTGTTCCTTAATATATTTTTATAATTCATAAAAATATTAAAAATTGATCACATATAAAGAATGTCCAAGTATAAAAATAGGATTTCATGATTTTATAAATATCTTCATAATAAAATTAAATAACACCACGTTTATTCATTTTAACCAAAAATTTAAAATCATAAAAATAAATAAAGGTAAAAAAAATTTAGACAACAATCAAAGCAAAAAAATGCCATAAAAGATAGCCACTCAATAGTTAAGATATTTATTATTGTATTAAATTCAAGAAACTCATAATGGAATACAAGAAACTGACAGTGGAATAACTTTGAGGAAAAGAAATCAAATTAAAGTGTTGTATTTTTTTTTTTTCAAACGGCATAATATATATCTCAATTGATAGAGAAATAGAGTACAAACGGGCAAAAACCCGAGCCTAAGATACTGGGAGGACATACACATACCCGTGATGCCTAGCCAAATCAATACCACCTAATCATCCCAATCACAATACATACTAACCAATACTAGCCTAAACCAACACCCCACCCCAAGAAAACCTGATACAAACACAAAGGAATCACTCCTATTACCACAGATCATCTTACAACACTATAGAACCCAGATACAACGAATAGACACAAACATTAAAAATCATCAACAAATCGAACAGAAAAGAAAAAGTCCACTGACACTAAACCTAGACTAATCATTTTCAGCTCATCCTCTTCAAACCAAATCTCCAGCCTTGAACTCTAGCCAGTCTCTGTAGGTAGCTTGAATTGTAACACCCCGGACTAAAATTATATTAGTAGCTCGACTTAATTATCGAAATTAGTATTATATTAATTATGCAGAGAATTATTATAGTTAATTGCATAATTTATTTATTATTAAACCCAAGTAGTATTTTTAATAATCGAGCCTAGTAGCAATTATTTATCCGAGCCCAAGTCGTTAAAATCGAGCCCAATCTATTAGGCCCGATTTCTAAGCCCAATAAGAGCAAAATCCTAAGCTACCCACCCTCCTATAAATAGAATGTCTCCATGTCTCCCAACACACCAACAAAAAAACCCTAGCCCCCAAGTTACTATTCATCCATCTTCACCACCTTCATTTCAAGATCCAAACACCATCACCATCTCCAATTCTAAGATCTAGTCCAAAAATCCACACCATGTCTTAG